AGTAACAGAAATAGGGAAATGTTTAACTTCACTAGTTAACACTGAGTTGTAACAAAACTCAGTGCCTATTAAATATCTCATCTCCCCCAGTAAATAATGTGGGTGCTGGCAGGGATGTGACAAAAGTGGCACTCACACTGGCAGCATATAAACTGAGAAAGACCTTCTGGAAAGTTCTGTGGCAATGTGACTACATGGCCTAACCCCGTGACCTCACAAACTTAACAGGATCGTAGATCTGCAGAGCCCTTCTTTAGATGCGGCTCCACCTTGCTAAAGGGAGAGGAAGAAAACAAGGCCCTGCGCAGTGTTGAGGGGTGAGGCCAGGCGTCACCCCACCCTTCCAGCTGCCAAGTGCGCACCCCACATACCACCTGGCCACCTTCACTGGCTCTCTCTGAACACTCTCACCATCTCTCCAAAGAACCTGAACATTTATTTTTATTAACATAGCTGTTCCCATGCACTCTTGCGGGTTGGGAGATACTGCAAGTGACAAGCCACCAGCACAAACAGCACAGATGGAATCCTGAGGTCACCCACTTGTCCAGAACACCTGAGGCCAGGTGGTGCCTGTTGGCAGGTGTAAGGACTAAAAGGCGGAGCTGCTGGAGGAGGCCTTGCGGCCGAAAGCGCATCTCCGGCCCGGCGCTGGGCCTTCACGCTCAGGCTCCCTCCTACTATCACGCCCACCGAGTTGAGGCAATAAACACCAGGGCCACGAACTCTCACAAAAACCCACCTGCCTCTTCATTCTCCAAGTGAGACCGACATTTTCTCAAGCGCTAAACTGAATAAAATCAACTATTGTTTCTGCTTTACTTGATCGCAAGCACCACTTTTCTCCTATTTGTTAACTACTTCCACTCCACCAAGAACTGCTGCTTGACTCCGCCAGCCGTCTGGGAGACCCTCATTTATGAGTTAAACAGGGTTTTGTGCTACCCTGAAAACCTAACTACTCACAGCAATTGATTCCGGGGGAAAATGCTACTTAAGAACCCAACAGCTGACTGCCAACCGACTGTAGCAAGATAAACCCACACTCCATTTCAAAGAAGAAAAAACAGAACATCTTACAGGGCGCGGTGGCTCAAGTCTGTAATCTCAGCCCTTTGGGAGGCAGAGGCAGCAAGACCGCTGAAGGCCACGGGTTGGAGACCGGCCTGAGCAAGAGCGGGACCTTCTCTCCACAACAGCGGGCCGTGGTGGCACACCCCTGCAGTCCCTGCAGCCTGGAATCAGCGTGGCAACACCAGGATGCGGCCACAAAGTCGCAGTGCGGAAGTCGCTTCCGAGAACAGACAGGCCACGCACAGAAGTTCCAAGGGGGCAGAAAGTTTCCAGAGGCTTGAGAGGTCCCTGTTCAGGGGAATGCGTGCTTGAAGGGCATCGTCTAACAAGACATTAAAATAACTTACTTATCTGCGGCGGGCAGTGAGACACACGGAACAAACGAATACTTTTGAAACGTATCCCTGTCAAGAGCCAAGAAGAATGATGAATACGTTCTGAATGTAGAACAGAGTGTGTTCTTAAACAAGAAAGGAAACATAACTTGCTATTCAGAGTCAAAGCCAGAGGAATCCCACCGCCCGGACGGACGCGGACGGGGCGGTCCCGGCCTGGGCAGGGAAACCCCACCCGCCGCCCCCGCCGCGGCGCCCGCAGCTCGGAAGAAAACGACCCGGAGCCCAGGGCCGGCGGCCTGCGGTGCCCACACGTGGGCTGGGGTGACAGCGCCCGCAGGGTTTGGGGAGGACTTCGGAATCTTCCGGCAAGCGTTGGGCAACAAGTTAGGAAATGTGCTTTCAGAGAATTCCACGCCGGCGCTGCCTCGTAGAACCCTTAACTCGTTACTTTCCCTCCGGGTTTGGGCCCCTCTCGTCGCTCCCTCGCCAAAGGCCCCTGAAGGACCCGCGACGCCAAAGCCAAGGCGCCGCCTCTCGCAGGCCGGTCCGCGAGGCCGCTTCCCGGGTCGGAGCCGCGCCCGGGACAGGAGCGGGTCGGGCCGGCGCCCCCACCGCGGCCCGTCAGGCCGGCCCGGCGGCCCCGAGCCCGGAGCGGGCGGCCCCGAGCGGACGGCGGGCTGGGGCGGCGCACTCACCGTTCGCTGCCGCGGGCGCCTGCGGGAGCGTCTACATGC